TTTTATAAACATAGCAGTTTCAGAGAAACTGCTATGTTTATGAATGGGTTAATCCAGCCTCCAAATCCTCTAGTGGCTGTCTCATTGACAGCCGCTAGAGGCGCTTGCGTGCTTCTCACTGTGATTTTCACAGTGAGAGCACGCCAGCGTCCATAGGAAAGCATTGATAATGCTTACCTATGCGACCAGCTGAATGCGCGCGCAGCTCTTGCCGCGTGTGCGCATTCAGCCGACGGGGAGGAGAGAAGGAGGATCAGAGGAGGAGAGCTCCCCACCCAGCGCTGGAAAAAGGTAAGTTTTTACCCCTTTCCCCCTTCCAGAGCCGGGCGGGAGGGGGACCCTGAGGGTGGGGGCACCCTCAGGACACTATAGTGCCAGGAAAACAAGTATCTTTAACTAACTAACATATGGAAGCTGTATACGGGAAACTGCTATGTTTACATATGGGTTAATCCAGCCTCTAGTGGCTGTCTCATTGACAGCCGCTAGAGGCGCTTCCGCGCTTCTCACTGTGATTTTCACAGTGAGAAGACGCCAGCGTCCATAGGAAAGTATTGAGATTCTATTTTAATACCCAGTCACTCTTGAGCTCCTTAAACTCTCACCATAACTCTGCTTTTCCGGATCTACATATATCCCTAGATGGGGATTGTTCCACCTAAAGCTCCATGCACTAGAGCAGGTCATTGCTCTAGCAATTGTAAGTAGGTCTAATATTATTTACTTATCCTACTTTTACATACGTACTGTACCATTGGTATACATCCTTATTTTTTTTTCATATGATGAACCGCACTACCTTGGGAATCTGATACCAGCAAAAAGAAATCCTTAGATGGGGATTGTTCCGTCCAGGCTCCTAAAATAGAGCTTTTTAAGCTCTGGAAAACGTGAGTGCCCCTTTAGAATATATCTTTATCACCATGTTATTCATAACATACTGCACTATCATTGTACTTTTATTTCCTTTTTTTTTTTTAAGAGTAAGAAACATAATTGCGAAATCTGCTGCTACCTGTGTATGTATGGTTTTATTATAATAATTCTTAGCGCTGTCCACCTAATTTACTAGCTTGTTTTGTTCTATTGTTCACAAGGTAAAAGGAACTCCTTGTTGGTGAATAGCTGCTTTATTGGATAGAGAGCACTTATCACTTTTTTCACTTTCCTATGGACTGACTGAATGCGCGCGCGACTCTTGCGAGGAGGAGAGTCCCCAGCGCCGAGGGAGCCCGGCACTGGAGAAAGGTAAAGGATTAACCCCTTCCTCCCACTTCAGCCCAGCGGGAGGGGGGCCATGAGGGTGGGGGGGGACCTATTAACACAATAGTGCCAGGAAAATGAGTTTGTTTTCCTGTCACTATAGTGGTCCTTTGAGGGTGAATCCCTTATTTGATTGGTGTTGTCCCTCCCTTTATATTATGGATTAACAGGCATAATTTGATTAGAATTTATACGACTTTAGGCAATACCTCATTTTCCTTTTCTTTACAGTATTTGTGTTTAGTTTTGTTCTTTGTTCTATTTTATATGTATATAACGAAAGTTAAGTTTTAAGTCAATTTTGTCACTGAGGGTGTGGTTGTCTAATTAGCGTGCCCATATAGAAACACCTTTGGTTTTTTTGTTTGCTATATATATATATATATTATCTATTTCTGGATATATATATATATATATATATATATCCAGAAATAGATAATTACATCACCACAGCTATTTCAATCTTTACAAGACATTTCTCAAACCTTAGATTACCAAAAATAACCTACATAAATAGCTTGTCAGCTGACCACTGTCAGCTAATGAGCTAAGCCCTGCACTGTCGGGCTTAACTCATTAGAGCTATCTGAAGTTCCTGTTTAGGAACTTCTGACTCTTGACCTTAATAATAAAGGCTAGGAACAACACCTGGCTGACCCCAGGTATGAAGTTAAACCATTCCAAAAAGGTTTAACTACTTACTGTCACATTCTATACCCTAACACGCAGAGTTTAAGATAACAACCACTGACTAAATAGAACAGACATATTAAATGTTCTTAGAGTGGCTGGGCTTAATGTACAACAGAGAGAATTCGTAGTCAAATTCAAGCCAAGATCAGGATAACAGAGAGACAGAATAATCGAAAAACTAGCCGGGGTCAACAAAACTGAATAACAGGAAGATATATGAACTAACCAGTTAAGATTATGGAATTCTCAAGAACTAACCAAGGTCAATACCAGAAATAACAGACAGGAACAAACTAAATGGGTGCCAAGAACAGAAACCATGATAGGGCACAGTAAATGGGCCAAATAATTATAAATAGTGTTAGGTTTGATTTGAGTTGTCCATGTCACACCCGCAACCCCAAAATGTGTGTGAATGGGGACACTGGAGCGACATGGCCCACATTAAACCAGAAGTGGCGCGGTGACCATTTTGCTCCTTTAAACAGTATTTGTACAACAGAAATTGGGGAATATCAGATCACTGGGTAAGTAGTACCCCAGTATCCCCCTGAGGACATGCCTTCTGTGGCAGACCAGGCTTGGTATGAAATTGGGAATACAATGCACACACAAGACGAGGAGCATGAACATCAACCGCAGGAACCCAACTATGTTCCTCAAGCCCATACCCTATTCCAATTGACCAAAAACTGGAGAGACCCCAAAGAAGATGGGAATCAAGCACAGCAACAATCTCATACTCTTCCTGACCTTTGACAGAAATAGAAGAAGGAGGAATACCAGGTCTAGTATATATGCTACACATAAGAGGCTTCAACTAGAAGGTCTGAAAAACATTAGGTATATGCATGTTCCAAGGTCAGTCTAAGGCATACTTTACAGGATTAATCTTACACAGTATCAGAAATGAAAGTTGGTCAGCCAGTTTCATAGAGGGTACTCGGAGATGGAAATCATGAGTGGCGAGCCAGACCTGCTCTCCACCACATAAGAAGGAGCTGTGCGACAGTGCCTGCCAAGAAGACAAAGCCACCAAGAGATGCTGAAGCTGCTCCCAAGTCCTATGTTTACCAGCCAGGTGTTTATCCAGAATTGGCACTCCCCGTGAAGGGAAAGTAGACAAGAGAACAAAAGGATGCCGAACATATATTATGTAACAAAGACTATGTCCAGTAGCATTATTATGTGAAAACGCAGCCCAATGAAACAGGTCAGCCCTGTTATCGTAGTGGTTATTCCACAATAAAAGGTAACTGCATTGTTCTATTAGCCAGGGGTTCTTAACAAATAGCTGTGTCCCTTTTTTCTAAGGCCTTGTAAGATTAATTGGAGATTGATAAAAAAAAATAGGTAAAGTCTTTAATTCCAACTCAAGGCTTTGGGTGGAGTGGAAATATATTAATATGGAACCTAGGAGTCCCCAAGCCTCCAGTACTTACCATGTAACATATTGTCCTTAAAAAAAAACTTTGACTCCTCATCTACACATATAAAAACCTACTCCCCACACCAAAAAAATAACAAAAAAACATAACTCTAAGGAAACTAATAAAATAAGTGTGAGATAGGGGCAAAAGGCCACTTGGCCTCTCATATATATTATTGCACTCCACCTCATAGTCCAAGCTGGTGGATAATATCTAGCGGTAATCACCAACTTTCCTTGTGAAACTGATTGTCATCTGAATTTATTATAAACTGAACCAATGCGAGTTGCTTGCTCGATTAAATGCACATGACAGCTTCAGTGGGTTATTTCATTCAAACTGACACGTTGCCAAATGGTGGGGGATGCTATTACATACAACTGTTACTATTACCTAACTGCTCTGTGGCTCAGGTTAGTGAAAATTGCCTTGGGAGGAGGACCATGCATGAATCAAGTTTTAATCTCTGTAATCACCAGACAGGTTTAATCATTATGGAAAAATAATGTCCATAAAAATATGTACAATCTTAAAATTGAGCTTGAATACAATATGTTTAAGTGATTTTGTTTATGTACGTTAGTTGAATGTAGCATATTTTCAGTAATACTTGGATTGTTATTAGTAAAAATGCATTTTTACTAAAAAAATTAAATCAATCTCAATTATTCTAAAAGCTTACAAGTGTAGATTTGTTTTGTCTCCAAGGCAACTAAAAAAATCAAATTAATGTTTTAAGTTTAGCACTTATAATAAACTCTAAAGGCACTAATGGCATTTGAACTTTTATGAAAAAATGCCCCAATGTGTATATCTCAGAACATTTTCATTAGGCATGGGCAAACATTTGGAAACATGCAAAAGATGACCAACATAATAAATAGTCAAATAGGGTTTGAAAATATTGTAGCAATTATTTGGGTAAATTTAAGTCTAGTAGAATACTTATTTGTTCTAACAGAATATTGTTCTGGCTCAACGTAATGTATGAGGAAATATATGCCCTTATCTTGATTATATATTGAAAATCATGGTGGAAGATATTTTTTTAACTACCGTAAATCAATGCAAAAAAAGGGTTAAGAGTGAAAGTATTGGTTCACTGGAATCTATGATGTGTGTGTTAATCAAGAACAAGGCAGAAATAAAAAAAAAACTTTCTTTAGTATATAACAAGAATATAACAAGAATAATCTATGGCTGTAGATTTACAAATCTCTGTTACAAAAGTCTTACAGCAAACTAATGATTGGGTAACACATGATAAACTGCTACAGCAATTAAATAAAGTTAATATAAACAAAGCCCCTAGGGACAGATGATATTCACCCATGAGTGCTTAGGTAGTTTAGTTTAGAAATATACATACCACACTTTTTAAACTTTCAGGATTATGTTCTTTTAAGAATTGTACCAGAGGACTGGAGAAAAGCAGAAAAACCTATATTTAAAAAGGTTCAAAAGCTCAACCTACAGACATGTAAGCTTAAAGGAACACTCCAGTGCCCAAATACAAAATAAATAAAAATCACTGGTTGGTAGAGATGTCGCGAACCGTCCGCGAACTTCTCGTGAACGGTTCGCCACGAACCATTCGAGGTGAACTCCGGTCAGCTGACACATCCCAGCCAATCTCCAGCAGACCCTCCCTCCCAGACCCTCCCACCTCCTGGACAGCATCCATGTTGAAGCTGCCTTCAACATGGATGCTGTCCAGGAAGTAGGAGGGTCTGGGAGGGAGGGTCTGCTGGAGATTGGCCGGGATGTGTCAGCTGACCGGAGTTCGCCACGAACGGTTCGTGGCGAACCGCGGCAAATCGTTCGCGAGAAGTTCGCGGACGGTTCGCGACATCTCTACTGGTTGGTTGATATACATCAATTAAAAACTTTGTATGTATTTAATTATGCATTTTTTCATTGGGTGTATATATAAAAACAGCCTGCAAAAACCTGCAGATCTTTTGTCTGCTGACTTTGCAAGTCATCCCCTTCTAACCATGTCCAGACTTTCTATGGATGTCCAATCACAGACTTTCCAATTGCAACTCAATGAGAAATCTTCGCATGGCAGGTGCTCTGGGCAATTGCTATCTCTAGAGTTTAGCTCCACTAAGCTAATCAGAACAGGAAGTAACAGGACATGTTGTGTGTAACCAGGAGGGTGAAACCAGGTGAATTCATAAAAGTGTCAATTTCTATTGAAATATGCACTTTTTGTAAAATGAAAAAAAGAGGACACACTCTTTACACATAAAGCCTTTCAGCAAGCTAAAGTGCTACAGGGGTCTGGAGTGTCCCTTAACTTCCCCTGAACACTGTTCTGTGTCCAATGTAATCATTTTATAAATGATCTTGAAGTGCACATTGGATGTCATGTGTCAGTGTTTGTAGATTGCGATTCAATACAGATCAATGCAAAGTCATATATATATATGGATATATATATATATGATTAGAACAAACCGCTATGTACTAACCGGTTCATTAGGATAATATACAACAGACGAGGAAATGTTTCTCTTTTTTTGTGGCATAATTGGAAAACGCTACAATTAAGGGAACTTCTTTTCTTTTGGATCAACAGCACAAAGGAATTGGTTTTAAAGGTTGAACTTGATGGACTTAAGTCTTTTTCTTTCAACCAAGTTTACTATGTAACTATATCAGTCCTGACTGTTAAACACTTCATATGTCTAGGATGTAAATTCATTTTTGGCTGTTAACGCTTACCCAATACCAACCTCCTCACCTCCAACAGTATGCTAACTCTAGCCTTACCCTATGCGTACACTAACTCTTACCATATACTTTCCTTAGCTTACCCCTTACCTAACACTACACTAATCCTACACTTTACCAAACCCATCCCATCCCTAAGCCTAGTCAATTCCGTCTGTGAATATCAATACTATCAGCAGAGGAATTTCCAATCTAAAACAGTGGAGAGCAGTCTGTAACCACATTCTACGGGCTATTTTTATTAGCATGAAAGGTGGATCTCCATGTAATGCTGAAGCTCTAGCACGCTGCCTCTGCGATCACACTGCGTTCGGTCCTGGGTGGCTGGAAAAGCCCAGCACTGATCACAATACGCAGGGGGGGAATTTTCAAAAACTGGGGATCTCCCTTGGACAGTGAGGAGTGTGATTGCTCAAGCCACAGGAATTTAAATGGATTTGAAGGACTGTGTGCAGCAGTCACTTTGAGCACTGCATACAGATCATCTGTCAGTCTGGGGCCATTAACCCATATTAACACCACAATCCATTCCAGTTTGCAACCATTTCTATTAGTGTGGCACAATTTTAGTTCCATCCAGTACTAGTAAACTTGCAATCTGTCTCTGGCCTACAAAACATGTCACTTGTAATTACAAAGAGATATGTATTTTAAATAATTTTTACACTACTTTTACTGTTGGCTCAGAAAGGTCTTCTGTCAGGAAAAATATAATTCAAGAAACTCTGAACATTTCAGAATTCTCACAAATATGGAATGTGCTCTACCTGTCAAAATAGATCCTTGTGGTTTCAGTTTAATCTGATGGTGTAAGGGGTATCTCACATAGTACAGTTAATCATTTCGGTATACTATATGTCACAGTAATGTCACCCTGTACAATTTAGTCTAAAGCGAAATATTCTCTACAATTACAACAGGTGCCTGCATTTTTTTTAAGGAAAATAATTAACACTTATTAACAAATCCTAGTAACACAAAGGTTATAAGATCATTTCCCAGTGCTTCTTTATTTTTATCAGTTGTTTTTATTAAATTAATTACTTTTTAATAAAATCAAAAAATGAAAACAGTATAAAGTATGATACAGATAACTTAAACAAATTAATTGAGGGGTAGAAATTGCATAACCCAGCAGTATGAACAGTCAGAGCTGTCATCAGAAATCTTATAATAATGGAAAAAATATCCAACACATCATCAAGTGCCAGTTTCCTTTTATTTAAGTGTTAAAAGTAGAAAACAGCAATCCTAAATCGTGGACTCCCTTACATAAACATCGATAGAGCCTGCCCCAACATCTCTGTCCCAATCTCTGTGTCAATCACTCTTTCTACCTCTGCAAGTATCCTGATTATCGTGTAGACTTTATTTTGGGGTCTCTACTTCAATGTTTTGCTATTTCTTTTGAAAGAGACCCAAGGGACAAGAGTGGGGTGTCCCACTCCAGTCCCAGTTTTGGATGCAATATATTTTGCAGAATGCTGCCCCACAAGCCTGACTCCATAGCCACACTCCTCATGCCAGAAATACTTGCTGTCTCATGACTCTGGTGGTGCCCCCTCTTGGCCCCACCTACCCATCTCCATTTGCCCCAAGGAAGTGTTGGGAAGTATGGTCTAGAGCCCCACTAGATTTATTTTAAACCTCACCAGCCACCACTGAGCTAACTCCTGTTGGGAACTGAAGGTAAACTCTATTCCTGGTAAGTTGTGTTTGCATTCCCTTCTTGTAGGCCAATTTTTCTCCTGGTCAAACAAGGCAGAATGATCCTAGACCAAAACCAAAGAAAAAAAAGTTACTTTCGCATTATCCCAAATTGCTATGCACATTTAATAACTGGAGGGGTTTTTTATTATCACTCCAAAGACCATTTAAGTGTAAGCTCACCTGTCACAAAACCTCTTGAGTTCTACATTAACAATTCACTTTGCTGATTTAATCAAGAATGTAAAATCTCTAATGAGACATGGAGGGGTATTTTTTTTTTTTTTAAACACTCTTCTCTGTTATAGGAATGGTTACTGCAGTACCACAAAAAAAAAATTAGGTAATTCAGGTTAAGTCTTTGCAGCATTCACCTCCCACTGTTGAGGGGATCGCTATCAGAAGCAAAGTGCACAAACTGTGCTAACAAAATTTATTTTAATGACAAAAAGTTACAAATGTTTTGGGTCTCTATCAATGCATAATGTCCTCATTTGTAACTTTATTTTGTCCTTTTGGTAGCACAGTTTGTGCACTTTGCATTTGACGGCGATGCCCTCATTCTTTGTTTTGTGTGTAGTGTTCACTTAAGTGTGAATTGTCAGAAATTTACAGTAAATTCTAAGCGAATTTTAAATTTTAGACCACAATAGCAAATAAAAAAAAAAACTCCAATTCAGCTAATTTTTCATTTCAGAACTCACTGTGAATTCCTGCAAATCTGCATGAAACAGGTAGGCACTTGTTATTTTGATTTTTTTTTTATGCATTCATTTGCTAATAAACTGATTTATTAATGAATTGATCTATTAAAACAATTTACCATCTTACAATAATAACATAATAATAATTTTATCAGTGACCCTGAAAATTAAAGTTCTCTCTTTAGATGCAGAATATCAATTACGATAAAATATTGCACTGCTAATGTGGTCATTGAACACGTTGCAGAACAATTAAGAATAATTTACTGTTCTTTTGTTATGGCGTAGATAGATGTTGTTACGTATAATCAGGGCCGTCTTTAATATTGATTGGGCCCTGGGCAAGCATTTGCTTGGGCCCCCTGGATCCACTCCCTAGCATGCAATCACGCCTCCACCCCAACGCAGTGGGCGAACTAAAGTAGAAAGAGCCCTGGTGCAAGAATTTCATTTGGACCCCCAATTGCAAGGTTGGAAAGAAGGTAGAACCCTATCTGTCATGCAACTCCAACAATGCATTGACAGCTGGGGCTCTACCAATTTCCCTTGCTTGCAGGGTTGTATTTAGCACTGTGTTTGTGTGTTTGAATGTAAGCATGTTTTTGTATGGAGTATGTTTGTGTGAATGTGTTTGTATGTGGTGTTAGCGTTTGAATGCAAGTGTACATTTAAGTGTAGTGCTGGTTTTTGAATGTAGGGGTTTGTTTATATATAATTTTGGTGTTTAACACAGAGGTGTGTTTGTATGAAGTGTTGACTTTCAATGCAGGAGTGTGTTTGTATGTAATGTTGAAGTTTGAATGGAAGGGTGTATTTGTATTTATTGTTTGTGCTCAGACACAGGTAGACATGCTGACACACAAGCAGATACACACACTGACTACATACAGATACGCACACAGATAAACACACAGACACATACAGATACACAGACAGATAAACTGAGACATACTGACACACATAAATACATACAATGATAGACATACTGACACACACACTGACACAAACGGTCTCACAGGCACATACGATGACAAACATACTGACACACACACAGGCACAAACACTGATAGACATACTGACATTTGCTGACACTAACATAGCATACCTCCCAACTTTGACAAGATTTGAAGCAGGACGCCAGTGGGAGGGCTAAAAGAGGCTTCATCCAAAAAGGGGACGGGTCTGCCCAGAGAAGTGACAGGTTAGCCTGGTGTGCATGACAATTAAGTAGGCCACCCCACCAAGGGTAGACCATGAAAGGAACACCATTTTAGGTTCCTAAGCATAGCACCACGATGTGCTCGCATGTTTGTTGGACACAGTTCCCTGGTGTCCCAAAAAGCGGAACATCAGGCAACAAAGTCAGGATTGTCAGGCAGTACATCAAAATAAATAAACTGGGGCTGTGCTGCCAAAATCAGGATGGTTGGGAGACACAATGAAATCCTTGATTTAATAAGCTTTCCAAATATTTCAACACTGTTAGAAAAACCTTTAAAATAATTTAGCTAAAAAAATTCTCAAAGACTTAAATGGAAAATTCTGTAGATAAATCATTTGGAAAGTGTTTCTAACAGTATTGCATCATTTGGAAAGTTTATTAAATTAAGGCCACCTCCCTGG